CGAACTGATGATTACTAAAAAGCATGAAACAACGAAACAACGTTGTGAACGGTTGGTGATGCAAACAGCGCCCATTTTTCGTAACAAATTGTGAACGCTTTCTTGCTATATTTGTGTTGCCCCTGTATGTTTTGCGAAATACCTCAGTCAATCATTTATACGGAATATGGACAGAAATTGCATATCGTAAAGCTGTATTTGGATCGGCAAAATGGCGAAATTGCGATTCAATTGAATTGCACAACACGCTATAGAAGACCCTGGGCGTTATACGAGTACTACGTTTACCGCTAAGAACTATCGGTACATACAATTTTCTGGACGTCGATCGTTTTAGGCTGAAAGGCTTTGCCCTTTTAGCGACGCACAAATTACGGCTTTCTTCACGATCCCCCAGGTGCAGTTTGCGGAAAAGTCTGCGTACTGCACCTTTTATGAAAGATTGCGAAACATCTAGAGCTCCACGAATCCAGAAATAAACAAAACTGGCAGCTATCTGACAACATACCTAACCTACAATTTGACAACGCACTATACGGGGTGTTACAGCATTGTGTCTCTCGAAATTTGATAATTCGTTACCACCAGCTGTTCTTTCACTTAATCCGTAAAATGTCGTTCAATAAAAAAACAATATATACCAAAATAAATCAAGATTGGACAAAAGTGTGATGTTAATGCAGATATTATAAGCAGAAGGGAGAGATAAGTTTATGTAAATGATTGCTCGAAAATTATTATTTTTTAAATATTTTCTTATATTCTCGAAATTTAAAGCTTTAGTATCAGAGGGTAATTTTGAATTTTGAATTTTTTGCAATCGAGAATATGTTCAAGTATAACTTTCTGTAACATTGTTCGTATGAGGAATAAAATTCAGGCATGCCTAGATATATGCCTGGATTTTTTACAGTTTCACATACTTTTACAATTTCACCATTTAATGATATAGTCGAATATTTATTAATTTGATTTCTAAACTTTTTAGGAGAGAATATAATTACTTTTGATTTTTATAATGTTATCTAAGATTACGAATTTTTGAGTACTTGTCGATGGATCTCAAGTCTTCATTAATTTGAACCTCGGCAATAATTATATTGTCAGTATTAAAATTATTGCATAACTCCGAATCGTTCGCAAAAAACTGAATATTGCAGTGTAACCGTATCAAGATCGGAGATATATAAAATAAAAAGAAGTGGTCCAAGAACCGAGCCTTGAGGCACTCCCGATGATATTAGAGCATCAGGAGAAGCGTTCGTAATCGATGACAACTGTTTATGATCTATTTCTTAAAAAGATATTCATTAGGGCAACAGATGATTCGGAGAATCTCCAAATCTAAAAGAATTAAGTAAGAAGTTAAATATACAGGGTGACTTCGAAGTTGAGTCATTTATTTTAACAGTGAGTAGATCTGATCAAAATAAATGTTTTTTTCCTTTAACATTTTTCTGGAAAAATTAAAGTAACAAAGTTATAGCCCTTGAGTACCGCCTTGTCTCAATAATAATATTATGTGCTCGTGTTTGGCAACAACGGATATAATCCGCCTTATCTGTTCATCGCATCGGAAACAAAAAAGCGAAAGAATTTGAAACGATGTTTTTACTACAATGTACAATTTTATTCAGTTGTATTCAGTCGATGTGTCAGTCGGTAACGCGTGAGTGAATAGTGGTGTTTGTTGCATGGCTCAAACGAAATAAAAAATGGCACATGTTTACGAAAATGCTGAATGTAGTACACAGGGCTCGTGAATCAGGTGACTTGAGACCTCACAGGGGATGGCATGCCGGTGCTCCAAGACCGCACGATCAAATACAGGTGCGCACTGAAATACTTGTCGGGAGGATACTTTATAAAACAAGGTAACATTTTTTTTTATTTTTACACACATATTTTGGTTTATCTTCCTTCTACAATCATTATCTGAAAATTAATGACTCAACTTCAAAGTCACCCTGTATAGAAACAGGTTTTCATCGATCGTATTTCTTGAAATTTTAAAATTTCTCAAGGTCTTCATTTCCGTCCGGCGTTGTTACACTGTACACTGGGGTAGTTTGGGGCGCTGATTATAAATAAAAATGATCGCGAAGGCTCAAAAAAACGTGTTTAAACCGCGACTTGCTGAGATCCCGCTTTTTGCATAACATGCAGCTATACGATGTCCCCTTTAATCTATAGAGCAAATACTTGAACTGGCGCCTCACACCGCAAAGATTGCATGTATAACCCCAGGACCGGCGAGATCCAAAAATAGCTTTTCTGGCAGGCACGTTGAATGAACTCCGTGAGTGAATGGAATTGAAATTATTCACGCATAACAAAGAAGCGTACTCGAGTTTTGATCGCGCCAGAGAAATAAGGAGTTTTTGGTGCTATTTCGTTGAAAAAAATACGCAGCTACGCGTTATAAGTCATAGAATTGTCGCTTCGGAAATGACGCGTGCTACATGGACAGTGAAATCCAATCTGCAGGAAAATTTTACACCAGGACCTTTAGTCTCTGTTATTCTCATGAAACCCGTATTTTTCACGGAACAATCAAAGAATATAATCGAGAAAATACTTGCCCTTAAAATGTTTCATGTGTCATAGTCGTAGTCAGCATTCCAAAATAATCGGATCCTGAGTAAATTGATCAAAAGCAAGGCTTCACTTAGAACAAAACGTTGAGAAACGTTTCTTAATGCATGGCAAACATAAGGGCTGATGAGTTTTGCTTTGGAAGAAGAAGAGCTCTAGGCGCATCGTTAAATATGGTCTACAGGATGCAGTTTAACAGCTTTATCTATGTAAGGAACATGCGTTGTAAACCAGAGCTGTCCATCATAATTTATTGGATATGTAAATAAAGCGATAAAGTCAATACGAGTTGGGTGTGGATCTGTAGGCATACGCATACTGATTGGACGATCAAAGGCTCTAAACGGCGTTATGCTGTTGTAAAAGTCAAATCGGACTATCGAAGGTCATCAAATTACGTTATGTTTATCAGAATAACTATAAAGCCGTATGATATAAAAAATCTAACCCAGAAACGAACAGTTGTTCGTTAGCTAGGAACGCCCTCTACCGAATCCAGTCGGCGCGCGCACGCTCCGAAGTACAGTCGTGCCGGAAGAAAATGAGTCCTATTACTTTGCGGACAAACCCTGTATACCCTTAAGCTTGGCTATTTTTTGAGTCATATCCATCTAACAGAACGCAGTTTGTTTTATTTAATGGTTACATCCCTTATGAATATGCTCGCACATTGGAGGTTCCGCAGGGATCAAATTTTGGGCCACTGCTTTTCGCATTATTTATACTCTCAATTGTAACGAAGTTCTTTATTCTGAAGATTTGAAAATGTTCCTATCTATTACAAATAACTCGGTTTACTGGGGTAATTTGGAACGCTGAATTTCATTATGGCGTTCAGAAAGTGATTAAACGCCGCGAAATCAAGTTGATAGCACATTCGTGGTTCGTGTATTTACCCAAGAGATTGGAGATAAGCTAGAATTTTTGTTACCGGCTATTACAAGCCAACTAGAGTCTGAGGTAAATTGGGACGCTGAATTGGATATGACCCACAAAGTCCAATGTGGAGTTAAGAATAGACATTTTGGACTCTCCCAACGATCCAAATTCAACTGCATAAAAAGACTTATTAGCTTAACATTTCGTATAATCTCTACGTGTGATATCAACGTTCTACAACATCCTTACAAAATGATTATCGTCAGCCTGAGCTTTTTAAATAACAAAAAAACCCAAAAACACGAATCATCCATTCTTTAGGTAGTCTATCAACGTAAGGATGACTAAAATACGTCGTTGCTTGTGTATAATGACCTTGAATTGCACATCACTCACACATGCATAAAATTATACCGAACTACGGAAACAAAAACAATGAACAATTAACTACCGTTTTCCTTTGTCTCTTCTTTGTCGCACCGCAGGATATTGTTTTCTGTTACAATACAGTACTTGTCAAAAGTATGGGAATGTAATCTGGCAACACCGTCGCGTTTATCCGCTCTTCTACCATCGATCCTAACAAGAAGCGCCTATTGGTATACTTGGTGATGGAACGACATTGACCGTACAAGCAACACCGTAACTATACTACAACTATTTAAAACTGTAATGACTCATACGCGTGATCAACACGTGATCAGAGCTCGATCCCGGCTTCCTTCCAGTACAGCCGTATAGCGTACGACATATGTCGTTTCTGTGGCTTTGCGCTGGTCAACAGCACAGACAGAGATGGAAATAATGGCTGATTGTTCTCCGCCGGTGGAACCAATGAAATCAAAGACGCGCCTCGGCCGGCAGACTCATACGCGTCGGCAACGCATTGGAACGTGTTTCGTTGAGCGATCGCATATTGTGTGTTTTTATAAGAATTGTTGTGTGATTGTTATTGTTGTGGTTACTGTTTTGGTTATACTTAATCGTCATGGATAATGCTTCCTACCATAGTCGTCGAGCCGAACGTGTACCGACTATGGGATCTCGTAAAAGTGACATGCAGCAATGGTTGCGCGAAAAAGGCATCCCGTTTGACGATTCATGTGTGAAAGCGGAATTGTATGAAAAAATTAAACAGCACAAACCTGCGAACATTAGTTACGTGACTGATGAGATGGCCCGTCAATGTGGTGTCACTGTACTGCGGTTACCGCCCTACCACTGTGAACTGAACCCAATAGAGCTCATCTGGGCTCAAGTGAAGGGTTATATTGTTAAGTAATGTTCACGTCAACATCGATGAGTCATTACAGTTTTAGATAGTTATAGTATAGATTCACAACGCGCACTACTTGATCTCATGAGAGACCGTTACACCCGTTTGCGTGTAAATGACGCATAACCTGAGAACAAATGCTCTATAACATAAACAGGATAAACGGCGGTCGTGTTTAGAGAACCTTCTAGAAAGATTTCATGCAAAACGTTAAAAAGATATCCTGGAATATTTCTTTTGCTTGTTCCAGGATCGTCCCTGGAGCTGATGCCCAGTATTATGGGCGCATTCGACGCAATCATCGGAGGCAGCCAGAAAGAACGGAACTGTACTGAAGGCGATCAAATAAGGACGAGCACTCCGAAACGCAGCCACCAAGTGGGGAACTTCGCTAATCTATCGCCTTGCGTCCAGAAGATCCTCTCGAACGTTCCTGAGCAGGAGATCTCGAAGAAGTTCAGCTCGGAAGAGACATTGAATTCGAGTACGATACGCAGGTCTACGTATCGGCCTACCTACAGGTATGTACAGGGTGGTCAAATTTATTCTTTCATGCTAATCGAACTGAATGTGTTTACGGACGTTTCCCCTCTTCCAGATCATTCCGCTCCCCGGAGAAGCAGAGCCCGCTGAACAGGAGCAACGAAAGCCTGGACATAATCTCGACGAACGTCCAGAAGATGTTGTCGAACCTCCCCGACGCCGAACTGGTCATCAGCGCCAGTCAGTTGAACCTTTCCAAGAACACGACGTACCTGCACGCGTCCAGAAGCGAATTCCTGCACCGCGTTCTGGAACAGCAGGGAGAAAGTGAACGCGACGGCGGTAAAAGCGACAGACGGACGGTTAGGGAGGGGGGAGAAGTGACAGATGACGGTGGGGAAAAAGTGGGGGAACAGTGTCAGTGCTACGGGCAGAGGCCGTTGGGCAGCTATCTGCATTCGTCGCACGGGATCGCCTCGAGGACGCCTACCGGGAGGAAAAACGCGGGGAAATTCTTGCAGGTTAGTATCTAAAGTTTTATGCTGTCTGAAAAGTTTCGGAGCATCGTATGAAAAAACTAAGAGCTGTGCTTGATAGGAGTTTTCCCCTTTGATCTGACCTGGACCTTAACCTTCAGGGTCATTTAAATTACAAGTCGATTTTTTACCCCGTCAATGTAAAGAGCGGGCAAATTTACGTTCCACCTTTCCATTCTTAAATTTTGACCTTCTGGTCATGGTCAAGGTCAAACCAAGGTTCGGTGATATACATTGAAAACCAGTAATCGTATAGGGAGACTATCGAGACATTATTTCCATGATTTTCCATCGGTTATCCAGTGGTGACCTCGGAGCCGACCTTAACTATGATGACCTTCAAGGTCATGCGAAGATCAAGTCAGGCAACAATTTTGAAAGAACAGTGAAGTCAGTTTATCTGAATTATCTACAAACCAAGGTAAACTTGCGTTTGATCTCGATGGTCAAGTCCAAGGTCAAGGTCAAAATGTGGTCAACGACATATTCGAACATGAAATATTCCCTTTTATCCAATTTCGCAGTCAAAAGTATATTATGGTACCATTAAAAAAGAGTTGACCTTCAAATGATCTTGAGTCATGGCCAAGGTCAGATCCAAAGTCATAATTGGATATCTGGGAAAAATCATGGTAATAATATCTCGGTAGTTGCCCTATACTGGCTTTCAAGTGATATCACTGTACCTGGGTTTGACCTTGACCATGGCTTCCTAAGGTCTAAATTCAAGATTTTTTGCGCATAAAATTTTCCAGGGTCGTAAATGAGGGGTTCCATTTTAAAAGATCAACTTGACCTCAGATGACCTTGATGGTCATAGTCAACGTCAAATTCAAGGTCATTACATCTGTTTTTAGCTCAAATTTAAGTATATCCTTGCCAATGAACCTCAACAAGACCTTCAGGGTCATTTGAAGATAAATTTTAGGTAAATTTCTTTTTGTCTGGGATATAAAAAATCAAAGCATTTACGATAATCACTATCATGTACTTGACCGTCACTTTGACTACGATTTTCAAGGTAATTTGAAGTTTTGATGAATTTTTTACGGGAAACCTGATGATTTTACGTCCAAGTATAAAACTTATAAGGTCGGGGCCAAGGTCACATTCAAAGTCAACTTCTCAATCAACCATGACCTTCAAGGTCATTTGAAGATAAAATTGTAAGTAAGCTTTTTTTTGTCTGGGATATAAAAAAGCAAAACATTTTACGATCATCACTATCATGTACTTGATTGTCACCTTGACCTCGATTTTCGAGGTCATTTGAAGTTTAATGATTTTTTTACGGGAAACCTGATAATTTTACGTACAAGTATAAAACCTGGAAGGTCGTAGTCAAGGTCACATCCAAGGTCATCAATAAGGTCTCGGTAGTTGCCCTATACTGGCTTTCAAGTGATATCACTGTACCTGGGTTTGACCTTGACCATGGCTTCCTAAGGTCTAAATTCAAGAATATTTGCACATAAAATTTTCCAGGGTCGTAAATGAGGGGTTCCATTTTAAAAGATCAACTTGACCTTCAGATGACCTTGATGGTCATGGTCAACGTCAAATTCAAGGTCACCACATCTATTTTTAGCTCAAATTCAAGTATATCCTTGCCAATGAACCTCTTCAAGACCTTCAGGGTCATTTGAAGATAAATTTCAGGTAAATTTCTTTTCGTCTGGGATATAAAAAAGCAAAACATTCTACGCTTATCACTAGCATGTACGTGACCGTCACCTTGACTACGATTTTCAAGGTCATTTGAAGTTTTGATGATTTTTTTACGGGAAACCTGATGATTTTACGTTATGTATAAAACCTATAAGGTCGTGGCCAAGGTCACATTCAAGGTCATATTGCCAATCAATCATGACTTTCAAGGTCATTTGAAGATGGAATTTTAAGGAAGCTTTTTGTCTGGGATATAAAAAAGCATAGCATTTTACGATCATCACTATCATGTACTGGACCGTCACCTTGACCACGATTTTCAAGGTTATTTGAAGTTTAATGATTTTTATATGGCAAACCTGATAATTTTACGTTCAAGTATAATACCTGGAAGGTCGTAGCCAAGGTCACATCCAAGGTCATCAATAAGGTCTCGGTAGTTGCCCTATACTGGCTTTCAAGTGATATCACTGTACCTGGGTTTGACCTTGACCATGGCTTCCTAAGGTCTAAATTCAAGAATATTTGCACATAAAATTTTCCGGGGTCGTAAATGAGGGGTTCCATTTTAAAAGATCAACTTGACCTTCAGATGACCTTGATGGTCATGGTCAACGTCAAATTCAAGGTCACCACATCTATTTTTAGCTCAAATTCAAGTATATCCTTGCCAATGAACCTCTTCAAGACCTTCAGGGTCATTTGAAGATAAATTTTAGGTAAATTTCTTTTCGTCTGGGATATAAAAAAGCAAAACATTCTACGCTTATCACTAGCATGTACGTGACCGTCACCTTGTCTACGATTTTCAAGGTCATTTGAAGTTTTGATGATTTTTTTACGGGAAACCTGAGGATTTTACGTTCAAGTATAAAACTTATAAGGCGGGGCCAAGGTCACATTCAAAGTCAACTTCTCAATCAACCATGACCTTCAAGGTCGTTTGAAGATAAAATTGTAAGTAAGCTTTTTTTGTCTGGGATATAAAAAAGCAAAACATTTTACGATCATCACTATCATGTACTTTACCGTCACCTTGACCACGATTTTCAAGGTTATTTGAAGTTTAATGATTTTTATACGGGAAACCTGATAATTTTACGTTCAAGTATAAAACCTGGAAGGTCGTAGCCAAGGTCACATCCAAGGTCTCCATCAGCCAACTTTGCTGTGTAAGTTTTTTCTCTAGGTAGCATATTTTTTGACATATTTCGTTTTCTGCATACCTTTTGGACGCTCAAAATGACCTTGAAGGTCTCTAACAAGGACTCGCTTGAACGTAAAGTTTGCTCTTTACATTTCCTGTGTCAAAAATACCGGTTTCCGTTAAGGGAAACGATCCTGACATGTCATGTGGTTATAGTCAAGGTCACCGTCAGATGGACCTTTTCAAAAAAATTTGACCACACATTTTTCAATACAAAAGGTATTTTCCAGATATTTTGATGTATCCATATTTTTTGGATACTTTGTATGTATGTACATCGTATCGTTGTAGTTGGTTTATTTAATAGTGACCAGTAGATACGCATTTGAAGTATTACAGTTGGTATATTCAGGGGTGACCAAGTTGCCAGACTACTACCATTTTTGAAAACTGTTTTAAACGTTTTTTACGATTGTGTGTTCTGAATGTTTATGCATTAGAGATAGGAGCTTTTACCGTTATTATGAACATTTTGAAGAGTCATATCTCCGGTCGCAACCTTTGCGATGTTTATAAAAATACAAACTGTAAAGGCACCCACAATTCAAAACGTAATTACATATTGTCTAGTAACACCGACCAAGACGCAGGATGATACTTGACGTAATAAAAGCATAATAAAAGAAACATTGTTTTCCTATTCTGGCTATGCTGCGCTTAATCACTTTTGGTATGGACAATAAAACGAAACAATATGACCAATCGGAATATTGCGGTCAGTACACAGTTATGAAACCGATACCATCAGAGACAAAGTATACGGATCATTGGGTTAATAACGGTCAAATCAGTTTTACGTCCCGCGCCGTTTGCAGAATCGTCCTTAACTGGAATCGTTTCAATCGAAAAGACAGAGATGCTGGCGAGTCACTTTTTTCGATCCATTTCACTTTTATTCACGGTTCATTGAAAACATTCACTTTCAAGCACCAGGATATTAAATTTTTTTTTTAATAAAATAAATTGTTCAGCTCAGCCAAAATGAGAAACTAGTAGGCTTAGTTGAAATTCAATTCATTCAAGTATGGAGAATACCATCACCATGACCTTGACCACCTCCTTTTCAACGTCCAATCAAAACGTCGAAAACAGCCAGAAAATAAATTGTGACCAATCATGATAGGTTTTTCCTCAAGTGATCTTACTTCTGGTGGTCTGTATACTTTGATCAAAACGATTGCGAGTCTTGTGGGGAGCGATTCGACTTCCCAGAAGTAGATGTCCTTAAATAGACCGAATGTTCAGACAAAGGGTATTGTTTTTGTGGTTATTTTGTCCACAAGGAGACCGCTTTTGAGCTGCCAGAATACGACACAGACTGAAATGAAGTTTGGGTATTGACATTAGAATATTGGTATACCTAGATTTTTCTTTTGTTGGACGCAGGTATACATTAACGTTCAAAAGTATTTGAACGCCCAGAAAACAAGGAAACTGAAGGAAGTTATTAGAGAAAGCATTACAATATCTGAAGGGTACCGGGGAAAAACGGCATTAGTCCGTTATTTGTCTAAATTGAGCTTTCGGTTTATTTTGGTGGCATTTTCCTGATCGTATCTTTTAATCAGCTTGGGCGCTTCGTTATTGCAACAGCCATTAGTTTACTATTGTTAATATTGACTATATTCGCTAATTTAGTTTATAATACGGGTATTGTGTATAATGGATCTGTTTCAAGTGAAAATGAACCAGGCCCATCAAACAGGGAAACGAAGAAACGCAAAACAAAACAGGAAGACAAAGAGACGTAATGAAAACGTTGCGCGCCAGGCTTTTTTGTCTTTACACGGAATCACAGTTCATCGAGTTCGGTACATAAGAGACTCATTAGTTGCAACTGGGAAATCGTCCATCGACATGCGTGGAAAACACAACGCACGACTTCACAAACTTTCAGAAAACACAAAACAGAAAGTGACCGAGTTTATTAAGAGCCTCAAATGCCGCGAATCTCATTATTCTTTGGCGGATTCGCAAAAACTTTACCTACCTGAAAATCTAAATACCGCAAAATTACACAAAATGTATTCTATTGGCAATGTTGAAAACAAGATTTCCTATGAATCCTTCCGAGAAATCTTTGAAAACAACTTCAATACAGGGTGTCCGC